TAATATGTGTAATAGTTGAGTGTAAGACACTTCCACTGGTAAGCAAGAACTGCTGGTTTCTAGTCCTGCTTGAATGAAGTTTATTGCCAATATGGACTCTTTGTTTCCTGGAAACCTGTTTCTTATGCCCCCATCATACTCTGACTACAACCAAGAAGACCCCGCTACATTGCAAAATTCGGTAAAACATTGCCAGGACGGGATGAAACTAGGAAAATTAGGTTAAAAATTCTTCTTTTCAAGATCATTCTAGGTTGTTACTCTGTTGCCTGCATGACTATGAAGTTCAGATTACGTTCTTGGCACAATTAAACTGAATACCGGTAGTCTCAACTGTGCTAAGATGCAATTGAAGTGTTTCACTATGTAAAAGACTTTGATACGATTGTAATACTACCTAAAAAAGATCACAGCATGATGGCAGTAGATTGTGGTTGCATGTATAAATTGTACGGTATGCTTGTAGCAAGCTGCCACCATGTTTCTGAGTGTTTCCTATATACAGTAAAATCTTGATAAGTAGAAGCCTGTTAAGTCAAAACTCTGTTTAGCTCGACGTCTTTCTGTATTACCGACAAAAGAATAGGCCTTTATACACAATAAACTATCTGTAACTCGAAACGTCAATACCACTGAAGCAGCTTATCTCAAAGTTTTGGTAGGCCAATTAAAAAAAAACCCTGAAGAATGATGAATAAAAAGTGATGAAAGAACGCTTGCCTTCATCATGAGGCATTACTGTCACGCGCATGGCTTTTCTTTGATGAGCTGAGCATGTTCACTTTGGCTGCCATTGTCACGTGGACAAGCACTGGGTGGGCAACCGTGAAATAAATCACGCACGAATGATACGCCCTCAAGTGCTTTGAATATGAAACCCTGACTGACTGGCCCGCGCGCTGCGTTATGTGGTAACAGCTCGATCAAGCACAAGACATAGACACAGGTACCGGTACATAACTTCCTTGGTTTATTGTGTTTAATGTTTGATGATGATGTTTGAGGAAAACCTGCACAGTACGGATAGCCTAAAATCCACTTCGTGTTCGACTCAGCTTGTAGGCCAACTGCCGTAAGCCAGTAAGGTTGCATGTGCACTGAAGCATGTAACTTTCGATAACTCGAACGTCAGATAACTCAAACTTTTCGTCCATTCCCCTGAGCTTCGACTTATCGAGGTTTTACTGTATGTTGGCTGAAACAGTGCACCCCATCAGTTTTCTCCCAGCCTCCAAGATGAATGGACATGTTGAGTGACACATGTACCATCTCTATAAAGATCCTCCTACAATGCTGATATGCTAAAACCACATGTTTGCCATCTTGAATAGGTTGTTAATACGTTGTCACTGTGATTTGAAGCCACTAGGACCCTGCTACATTAAAATTTTGAGCATGCTCAAAATGTTGGCACATTCTCTCCGTCCATAAAGGGCTTAACACATTGTTATCACTTCCCACTGAGTTCTTACTGCGATGTACAAGATCTCACCATGATTGATTCTCCCGATGTTTTAAGATGTAGTAATATCATCTTTCAGTGTGATGGAGGTTCTATATGGACTCCTAACCTCACATGCTGTTATGAATTATAGTTTGCTGCAGTAAATCATGTCTAAAACAGTCAATGTGGTTATATCTAACAGAATCCACATTTCTACTATCCTGGGAAGTATTTCCTGTGCATGTAAAGTGAACCTGATTTCACAAGTCATTTACTGCAAATTTTAAAGATTAAAATTGTGCTCTAGTTTCTACTTATAGCCAGACTTGCTCTGATGACACAGATTTGTTTTCACTCAAAGTTGAACTACCCTTAAAGCCTGTGGAGTGTTTTCTTGTCTGTCATACATACTGTTCAGGTCTGTATTTGACCATCATAATGTGACTGTCAAAAAGAGCTGTTGGAGACGTGGTAGCCATACTAAACTAACTTTTGAATATGTATTTAACTTCCCTGCAACGTCAGGTCAGCTATCAAATTCTAAACCCCAAGGCTATAACCATGGGTCAACTGTATGGCCGCTTTGATCCCGTCTCCCACGAGTGGTCAGATGGTGTCCTGGCTAACATCTTCAGAGAGCAGGCTGCTAGTACAAGTGATGACCGCAAATGGTGTGTGTTTGATGGTCCAGTTGATGCTGTGTGGATCGAGAACATGAACACTGTGCTGGATGACAACAAAAAGGTAAATTCTCAAAGATGCTGAAGATGAATTTCAAAAGTTGTCTGAAATTGTTGCACGTAGATAACATAGCAGATTTTGGTTAGATTTGTAAGACTTTAGTTGTCATGCTTCTTACATATTAGTGCACCTTTTTTATAGCTGTGTCTGATGAGTGGTGAAATCATCCAGATGAGCAATAAGCAGAATATGATCTTTGAGCCAAAAGACCTAGAACAAGCCTCACCAGCTACTGTCAGCAGGTAGGTCATCACCTGTATCCTAAAAAGTGATGTGGGTTACAAGGTGTGAGATTACATGAATAACCAAGGACAAGAGCATGTTTAATGAGGACTGTTGATTGCCTGAGTGGTTGATCAAAGATGAAGACAGGTGTCTATAAATTATGAAAAATTGTGCAGTTCAATATTGTCTACTTTTTGCCTAAATAATACTTTCAGGAGTACTGTAATTTTCAGAATATAAGCTGTGGCGCATACGTTGATAGGGTGTATAGGGTTGTATAGGGTGACCACTTTCTTAATGACTTTGTCGCCTGTTGCAAAGGCCCCTTATGTACTAATACAGAGCTACATAGACAAAAAAAAGAAAGTACAAATACTTGTGCCCAAGGCTGCCAAGTATAAACATTTCATCACTTAACTTCTGATAAAATGAGCTTATTAATGTCACACAGAAAGCAGTTAGGTGTAGTGGAATATGGACATGTGACTCTTGATAATACGAGGGCCTTGGGACTTACTAAATTAGCTCATATTATCTGGACCTCGTCTTACGCGAAAGTTGCTGTCCTGCTTGATGTATGTATCACCAATCGACTGTAAGTAATACGTACATGTGTACAAGTATGCATAATTTTTTGTTTAAAGGAATGTACGTTTTCTTTTATGAATTTGATTCTAAAAAGTTTGTTTATTAAAGTAAGATACAGTTTGATGAATAAAGACTTGTAATAAAGAATGATTATCAAATATAAGAATGGAGGAAGCGGAATTTCAACCAGTCATGTCGATTCGGAACGTCCCCAGCCCCGCACACCGTGATGAGATCCACATGCACGCACGTAACGTAAGTAAATTAACATTTTAGTTGGTAACCAACACCAGAGCTGCACTTGTTGCACATATGAAAATGGGAGGAAAGCAGCTATTGGTGGTGTGGACAGCAGAGGGAGAATATCGGATTCTACTTTGGAAAGGCTTGTGGGTTTGGTGAAAAATTATTAGCGAGAGATACACTTTTTTTTCAAAACTGGTGGATGTTATTTCTTAAACATGTTTGGACTGAAAACTGCGGTTTAATCATGATTTTCTTAAATTGAGAATTTACAGAAATGTCAAAATAGAAAGGAGTGATATTTTCTTGTTACGGTGGGGAGCGGGTGACGATTTTTTGACGGGGGTGGGCAGTTTTTGGGGCCTGGTGTTTGGTTACAGAAGACGATTTTTATTAGTTTCCTGGGGGGGACCTTGGTCTTACGAAATTTTTGGGGGGTGGGGGAATCAAATGAAAGATTTCTTTTGTTCACCACTGTCCTAAATATCAGAGCACTTTTGGTGGCACTCGCTTGTGTTAAGGTGGTACGAGAGCTGCCCTGAAAAATTTGAATGTTGGGTACGGGAACTGCAAATGCCCATTGTTAGTCTCTCTTGCAGCACTGGATGCAAACGGCTTGATTTGGTGAGGGAAAACCACAGCGCTGTTTCTACTGTATACGCATAAATTAGGGAAGCGCCTTTCAAAATTGAATGGACTGGCTGATTGGCAAGTTGCCTTCAAAAAAGCTTGCGCTAAATAGACAGATAACAATAGATTTGCACTCAGACGGTGCACAAAAAATGCTTGTCTTAACCGAAATCTCATAACATCCGAGCTCGTATTGCACACTTTTTCCCTCATAGGAGTGTGCACATTTCAGTCATGACTGGCAAATATGCTCGTCTAAATTGGAGTCTCGTCTTACCCGAGCTCGTATTACTAAGATTCGATTGTATGTGATCTCTTCCAATTTGGCTGTGCATGATGTATAGCATGTTTGCCTGATGGAGACTGATACAGTTAGGAAGGGCACATTCTATCCTGAGGCAGATGCACAATGTGAATTTTGTCCAAGGACTCATACTTAAACATTGACTATTGCTGCTTAAGGGGACCCAAATGTGCATATGCACCAAACATACATGTACACACAGGTTGATTATAATAAAAATGCTAAGTGTATACAACTCCAATTATTATGGGCCCACTCAGCAGTTAGGATAATGTCGACAGTTGCTATTTAAATACATGTACATCACTCAGAGCTGCCAACATTGGAAAGCAACAATCAGGAAGATTTTTTGGGAAGGGTGTGTGTGAGTGCAAGCGCGAAGCCCATTGGCATGGGGTCCGGGCCTGCTTAAGGGTCCCGGAAAATTTTGCAGTCTACTGCCTGCATCCTACGTAGATTACCATGCATTATTTCTTAGTCCATTACTCCATTCGCTAAATTCTCAATCAACTGGCAGTGTGCCCTCGCTCAACTCTGCGAAGCAGCCGCCATAAATATTCCTCTCTTTCTTAACGCCATTACGTTACAGATGTATTTTGTCCAACTTTGAATTTTTGGAGAGTTTTCTTCTAATCTCCTACCTATTCGCTTTTCTGTGCCTTTTATTGCACCTTTGAGTCAATTTGTGGCTCTCTGTTCATTTGGTGTCAGATGATGTTCATGTGTTGGCTTGTCGTACATCTCGCCTCGACAGCCCCATCGGGCCGTGTTTCTAGTCGGCCTGTTGACAGTTTGCCTTCTTGTATATTTGTACATAGTATGCTCAGCGTTCAGGGAATTAGCTTGGAGGGATGCCTTTCTTGCTTTTGTATTTTAGTCTGGAATTTACTTGTTTCTATTTGTTTTAGATTTTATTTCTGTTCCTTCTAACGTGTAAAGAATAAAAAAAAGGTACTGTTCTTTAAGTCTACGGCGCTCTACCTAACCAGACAATCACTAAATAAGCAAATTCCTCATGGACCTATAGCTATTCCCTGAAAGGACTTGATCATCTGAGGTGCCCCTTGACCTCCCACTATGCACTGCAGTCACGCCACCATGTTCGCCCTTCTTTTCTCAGTAATGTATCACAACAGATTTGTCTTTCGTAGGCATCTTCGAGCTTTTTGAGTTCCGTTTTTGCTACATGGTTTTGTGTCGACTTGACTATCCTATCGTTTTTCTTAATATATTATTATTACCTGTGTGATTTTAACCTTGTTGGTAAGAGTGTTATTTCCATGTTCTTTGGTGTTGTTTCTCTTCTCATTGTGTGTGTGAATTCTGCAGGTGGTTACCGTCTGTGTTATGAGGAGTGGTCAACCCTGCAGTCCCCATAGGCCTCACTGCTTGAGTGGTTGATTCGCACGTTAGCGGCCCATGTAATCCACAAACCCCTAGCTGCAAGAGAGGGTGGAATGTAAATTTAGCAGTTTTCTTTTTCAACTGCTTTTGCCAGTGGTCCATTGTTTAAGCAGCCATTTGTGGATAAAGGCCTAACCGCTTGAGTGGACATTCCGTTTTAAAATGGTCAGACAGGGACAAGACCTAGCCGCCTGAGTGAGTGCAATCAATGAAACATGGAAAGTTCATCTCAGCGCGGCCATCAGTGCGAATGATGCTCGTGCCATTGATGTTAAGTACCACTTGCCATGCTGGGTGAGGCATGTACAGCGTGCATCAAAGAAAGGCAGGGAGGATGCTGCACAGATGCATTCAAAAGAAGAAACAAACATTGGCACCATTGCATCAGACATTGAGTTTATCTGTCTTGTGAAAAGTCTCCTCAATGATGGCCCAGTCAGCATGGCAGAGCTACGCATGACCTAAAGCAGTATTCTGCAGAACAATGTTGTTCAAAGTCAACATTGTGAATATGGGAAGAAGAAAAAACTTGTTGCTCGCATAGATGACATCCACTTCATGAAACCCAAACGCCGCAATGAGTCATAACGAGTTTGCTTCACAGCTTTGAGGGATTTGGCCATGGAAGACGTAATAACACAGAATGCTGAAAGGGACAGTCATCAGCTGTTTCAGAGTGCCGTCCTTCGCAAAGCCACCGAAGATCAAACAAAATACCCGTGGCAGTTTGAGGGAACTCTTGGTGCCAGTGATGCCGAAAACCATGTACCCAATGTTTTGTATTTTTTCATCAGATGGGTACTGCAGGGACCAATCCAGAGTCTCCAGACTGAAGTACGTTCAGCCACCATTTACAATGACGTCTTAGCCATCAGCCAAAACGTCATGTACTCCTACAAGTCAAAGCGTCAGGTGACATACAAGCCAAGACATATGGATTCAACATTCAAACATCCCTTGGAATGGCCTCAGTTGTTTGCCGTTGGCATTGCAGTGCACCAGGCTACCAGAAGTAAGAAACTTTTAGAATTCCTGCATGGCATCGGTCTATCTGTAGACTACAGTCCGATCCTGACAACACAGTTGGCAAGCTCAGTCATAGAGGCCAACTGAGCACAGGGAGCATACCTGTCATCAACCATGCATGTTGGTACATTCATCTTCTTTGCGGCGGACAATAGTGACTTTAATGAAGACACACCAGATGGGAAATGGACACCCCATGCCACTGCTACTGCACTCTATCAACAGCGTCTACAGGCCGGAGACCGTCAGAACAACACACGCAAACTGAGGCTTCATGGCAAGGCCAGGGATCGTTCTCTGAAAAGCCTAACTACCTCAAGTCTTGTTGCCTATTCTGCACCAAACACTAAGGTTACCAAAGGTCCTACCTTTACTGGGTTCAAGACCAGATCGGCGAAGGATGTTCTAAGGTTGTTTCATGCACAGGACTCTGTGTGGCTGCTTTCATGCACCATAGTGCGCACAAATCATTTTGATGACATCCAACCCATGGACATCACACCCCTAGAAGTGTCAGAAGATCAACTACACTCTGATGAACCACAGCACTCAGACAGTGAGGATTCAGCAGTCCAGGGTTCCACTCAAACAGCAGGTGATAAACAATCTATGGACATCTCAGCCCCAGAAGGGTTAGAACATCAACTGCTGTTGGATACCCACAGTGCACAATCTGCAAGTCCTACAGACAAGATCACAAAGCACAAGGTCCTATTTGGACTGCCTACAACTCACTCCTAGCCACTGAAAAATGGAAGTTGCTGCCCTACCCTTGGTAGCAGTGCCTGCCCATGAATGGCAAACACTGCTGACAGTTTTAAAGCAGACACAGCAGATCAACTGCATGGTCTTGGGCCCTGACAAGGAGACGGTGATCACCTTGGACATGGCCTTATACAAGAAAGCCAAGCAGCTTGAGATGAGCAGGGATGACTGCAAAGGGAAACGGGTGCTAAGACTGGGTGAAATGCACACTGTGATGGCTGCTCTGAGGGCAGCTGGCAGTGTCATAGAAGACCTGGATGAAGCTTGGAGTGAGGCAGACATGTATGGTCCCACAAAAACAAGACAGATCCTTGAAGCAAAGCACATGAAAAGGGCCTTAGAAGCACACATTACCACAGTCCAAGTCCCTTCATGACCTTTATGTAGAAGAATTTTTTAAAGAGCACCCCTACCTTAAGGGTCCATGTGTCAATTCGGCAGAACTTGTTGACAAAATCTGTGCTGAGCATAACCGAGTTGAGATGGTCAGGGAACAAGAGAAAATGTTGGCCATCCTTGAGACAAATACAGTTCTAGAGATCATGGCAAAGTTTGACAAAATGAAGCAAGCCAGAAACCCACTTTTCAAATTTATACAGTGCTACATGAGAATGGTGTTGTTGATATATTCATTTATCCGTGCAACCTGTGATGGCTTGTGAGAACTTCATCTAGCTTCCCTGGATGAGCTGTGCAAATACTTGTTTGCTCATGACTAGCAGAAGTATGCAATGCTTGTGCCACTGTACATTGCCTGTATCAGACTACTGATCCAGACATACACCAAGAATTCATGCGTGGAAACTTCACAGTTAACAAGAATCCAATACCATTCTGTGCAGTAGGTGTAGATCATGCTCTTAAGTACACCAATCGAATCATGAAGGTCACTGGGGGTCTTGTGGGAATTACCCAGAATGTTAATGCCTGAGAACGATTTTTCCTGACAGTGCCAGAACAAGGGAGGCTTGCAGAAGAAGCACATTAGATAGCTGGGTCATCAACAGCAAACTGAACAGCACATCATGACTTGGCAACTCCTGTGTGGTCCAGGTAGGAGGAAAACATTCTTCGGCTTAAGGACGTAATCATGCCATCCACTTAACCTATTACATATGCAGGAGGAGACTTGATGAACATCATCACCAAAGTTCTTATGCCACCTAAAGTACAGAAAGATGTGTGCAACCAAGATGAGATTGGCCAGCAAATGTATGCCAAACATGTTGAAGAGTGCATCACAAATGACACAGTCAGCATCTGGACCAGAATGAAGAAGGCCCAACTAAAGATGTGGGAAAGTGCAAGGAAGACAGTAAAACATAAGTTGGCTTACTAGGTAGTGGAACTGAAGGATGACTGCACACTGTTTGCACACATCCTTATTGTTGGCCGTTCCCAGCCAGAAATCAATGTGAAGGAAGACATTGGTCAATGTGAGTTCACCTATTTACCAAGGGCCCTTTTTGCTAAGACTGGGCAGCCTCTCCCATCTACAGATAAAAGCAAGTTGATGTCTATACTTAAGCATTGCCCAAGCAAACTGACACTGCATATGGTCTGCAACCAGACAGGATCACAACTGATGGTTGTCCACTGCCATCCAAGAAGGTGTCTGTCATCGACGGCATGACTGTTGTACAGGCAATGGGAAAACCAGCATGGATTACGACTTGTGCTGAATGGGCTGACCACTTCCTCATCACACTGGACTGCAAGACAAAAGATTTCAATAAGGTGCATCTTGTGTTTGACCACTACGATGTCTCTACTTCGCTAAAGGAGGCCACTCGAGAGAGACGCCAAGGTGGCAAACCTCCCACTGCACACCATGTAGAGGATAACACGCCAATAGGGAAAGTATCTGTGAAACAATTTTTGTCTAGTACCAGCACCAAGGACGAGCTGACTGCTTACTTCGCTCAGAAAGCCCTTCACCATTTTGAGAAGAGCTCTGAAACCTTCATTGTCAACTCAAGAAAGGATGTCTTTTCCAACCATTTAGATGTGCAGCACCTTCAAAGTTCACAAGAAGAGGCCGATATTAGAATGATCCTGCACAGGATGGATGCTGTTTGAAGAGGAGCCACAGAACTGTACATCCAATCACCAGACATCGACGTTCTTGTCCTTACAATTCGGCAATATCGACAACTCTGCAAGGAAATCTTCTTTGTTACTGGCACAGGGACTAAAAAACGAGAAATACCATTGGCCGCCAAAGCTGCAGCCTTACCAGGCTTTCATGCTTTCACTGGAGCTGATCAGATGGGCAGGCTTGCAGTGAGAGGGAAACTGAAGTGTTGGCAAGCACTAAATAAATGTTCTGCTGAGGTAATATCAGCATTTGCCGCATTGGGAGCATGAAACAGGCTTACAGCTGCAACTGAAGAAGGCCTTGAGGCATTTGTATGCCAACTGTATGAGCCTGGTACTGCCATAACAAATGTTGCAGATCCAAGATGGAAGTTTTTCTCAAAGAAGCAGTTAGTCTCACAGAAGTTACCACCCACATGAGGAGCTTTGAAGGAAATGACCACTACCAGGCCATGGTGTGGTACTAGGACGATGTCCTGAGCCACATCTACCACCAGCAAATGAGTATGGATAGAAGATAGAAGGAGATGGACTTGTGCCAATCCCAACAATTGAACCTCCCGCTCCAATTGCTGTGACACATCTGATCAAATGTGGATGTAAGAGGAACAAATGCCAGTCCCACTGCTTATGCAAGTCAAAGAACCTCCACTGCTCCAAACTGTGCATGTGAGGGGCAGACAAGGAGGTTTGCAACAATATTAGCCTTGGACATATTTTGGGGCTCGACGAAGACAAGGATGAGGAGGATCCCTCGGTTTAGTTCTGCCTCTGAAGCAAATTGGTTTTAATGTTGTTTTGGTCGGTCATGGACACAATCAAAAACATTATGTAGAGATGAACATATGTTCGATATAACATCTAAAAGTTTGTTATTAACTTTGTAGCATTTGTTTTAAGTAACCAACCTCAAAATACTCAACTTCCGTATGAAAACAACACTATGATGTTCCAGCAAAACATGTCACGTGAAAAAAATAGCCAAGGTTTGTTGATACTTCAAAGGAAAATTCAATCGTTGATACTTCTTTTGCATTTAAATAAATATAGGTCCTCAAAATCACCAAAAATTGACACTTTGGCCCTGCTATTCTACAAAATCCATAAGTACAGCAATATTTTATATCTACTATCATGGAGAAGCTCATAATTAAATATAAATATGCTCACTTGCCTTAAAAATCTTCGAAAACCCTGTCCAGGAAGGATTAGTTTAGGTGAAAATAACCCATGAGTTGCGACCTCAGTTCAAGGTCAATAGATGTTAACAGAAAAAATGGCAACATCAATTTTGTTGTCCTGGGGACTCATAAGAATGCATTTATAATGGTTGCCATAAATCAACATGAAATTTCCATGGGAGTACATTGGCTCCTCCACTGTAAACCTTGGATTTTAGTCCAAAGAAAATAACATCCACAAATTTTGAAGAAAAGGAGCGCATCCCTTGCTATTATCTTTGCACCAAACCCACACGCCTTTTCAAATTACATGTATACAAATTTTCACATTTTCAAATCCAATATTAGCCCTCTACTGCCCACACCACCAACAACTGGTTTCCGACTATTTTTTATGTGCAACAAGTACAGCTCTGCTGTTGGTTTCAACTAAAATGTTAATGTACTTAAGTTATGTGCGTGCATGTAGGTCTCATCATGGTGTGCGGGGTACATGTATGTGTGATAGGGCATCGACATGACTTGTGGAAAGTCTGCTTCGTCTGTTCTTATATTTTATTATTGTTCTTTATTACAAGTTTTTATTCATTATAACTGTATATATACAGTAAAATCTCGATAAGTCGAAGCCCGTTAAGTTGAAACTCTCTTTACCTTGACGTCTTTCTGTATTCCCAACAAAAGAGTAGGCCTTTATGTACAATAAACTATCCGTAACTCGAAACGTCAATACCACAAAAGCCGCTTATCTTGAAGTTTTGGCAGGCCAATTAAAAAAAACCTGAAGAATGATGAATGAAAAGTGATGAAAGAACGCTTGCCTTCATTGTGAGTCATTATTGTCACGCACACGACTTTTCTTTGATGACCGAGCATGTTCACACAAACTACCATTGTCACATCGACAAGCACTGGGTGGGCATCAACCGCAACCGTAAAATAAGGCCATGTCCGAAACGGGCTTCCAGAGCTGAGGCTAGGTTTATTGCCTGCGCGTCTCCATGCATTTCCAATGGAGTGGATACCAAGACCTAGTTCTAGACAAGAGATTCGGATGCAGCCTAAATCAGGCACGAATGATGCGCCCTCAAGTGCTTTGTACATGTATCACATGACCCAGCACGGAAACCCTGACCGACTGGCCCGCGCACTGCGTTATGTGGTAACAGCCCAATCATAGTAAATGAATGAATTCTCAAGACGTAGACACAGGTACCGTTTAATGTCATGTTACAGCCATTGGTAAACTCACTCCAGTTGTCTGCTCCTTGCAGGAATAAGAAAAGAGATGTTTTTACATAGCTAACACAATGCAGACGAAGTCTTTTAGACCTCAAACTGTGTTCCTATAGTGATTTTTAATGATACCCTGTCTTGGAAGTGAGGCTGTGATCTGAGAAGATTTATGACTTTAAACTTTATACTTAAAGGAATCTGCTGCAAGTGTGCAGAACATTTAGTAACTGAAGCCCACTACAGAATTGGCTAGGAATGCTGCCTAGTTAAGGATTATGAACAAGTTCTGCTATCCATTGATGTTACACGTGGTTTACCTTGAACAGAATTCTAAAAGCCCGTGTTTGACTATATTCTGTCAAATTTTATTCTTTCAGGTGTGGCATGATCTACATGGAGCCTGTACAGCTGGGCTGGGAACCTCTTGTTAAGTCATGGATGCAACATCAGTTACCAGACTTCATGACCAAACCACAAAGAGAAATGGTCAGGGTAAGTGAAACAGAAATCACAAAATTACATATGTGGCCTTTACCCATGAAAACAGGACTAAGTAGCAAAAATGACATTGACTATTTTTCATTTGTGAGTTCTCCAATTATTTCATCTTCCCAATAATATTATTTGTATTATTTGCCCCTCCTTATAATCCTGTGAAAAGAGTTTTCACTTTAGCATTCCTCAGCATATCTAACTTTTTATTTATAAACATTTGTGTTCTGTGCTACGGTGCCTGGGTTTCACGAAAATTGGTTACAAATGAAAAGCTGAGACACTTTTGAAGTGTAAAGTTTTTCCAACATTCCATCCATGATAAACTCATTATAAATGAGGATTTCTTTGTTGCATCCTCAGATGATGTTTGACTGGTTGTTGCAGCCGTGCCTTAGTCATGTGATCAAGCAGTGTCGTCAGCTAGTGCCTGTGTCTGACATGCACATGACAATGTCAATGCTGAAGCTGTTTTCCTGCCTCCTGGATGAAGTCAAGTAAGATATTCACTTGTACTCAGTGAAACCCACCTGGCAAAGTATTACTCATTTGAAGGAACATACCAATACTGTGTAGAGTTGTCAGACTTCCTAACAATCTGGGAATGAGAGATGGTCGCCTGCAGAGATGCCGGTAAATGCTTGGCTTCTTCTCAAAACATTCTGAACATTGAGTTCCTCTATCAGGTTCAGAATATTTATTAACTGTTCTAGATGTTTATGTCTGTGGAAAAGAAGCAATAAGTGAAAATTGTTAGATAAGTTTGGTATAAATGTAGTGAACAGAGAATTGGAAGTTGGGATTGACTAACTTGAAAGCTGGCTGAACATGGCAGGGATGTCTTCTAATCTACACTGAAAATACCTGTAAATAACTGACTAATATGATGACTTGATTTTGTTGAGCAGAATAAGTGGCTCCCAAATGGTACTTTTGGTTAATTAAAGTCTTTGGTTCAGTCAATGTGTGTACACTAACCATTAACAAGTGAGAAATAGTGGAAATGCTGAATTAGCTAACTGCATGTTGAGTCTAACAAATAGTTTTTGTCTTTTTTTGGCATACATGCTTGTGCATTTTGCTGGTCTTGCTGTGGATTTCCTATGGTAACCATTGCACAACTCTTCTTCCAGGGCCATACGAGATAGGTAAGTTTTTTTCTTTTTTTTTCACCCTTTTTTACCGAGGTTTTACTACAGTTTTTTTTCGTGACCAAGGCATTTTTCAGTAGAATTTACTGTGACATCAATATCTTGTTTAGAGTGGAAATTATGAAGTTTCAAATGACAAAAAGCCCCCTCTATGCAGATGGGAGAGGTTTGGAGCCAATTTCATACAGATACTTAGCCAAAATATTGCCTGAACAATTATTTGGCTCAAAAGTGTTTACCAGTAATTTTTCTTGTGGTTTTGGTAAGTTACACTTTCGACTTACCCAATTTTGCTTTGCACTAATTTTCTCTACTTGGCGAATCTAGACAACTTTTTTTCATTTGGAAATGAATGCATAATTCCGCAAGGAAACTCGCCTTGGCACTGTAGCTCTCAAGTTTGACGAGAGCCATGGAGGATGAAAAAATGTTGCATTTGTAGAGGTGGGAAGAAAACCCAAGACCTACATGTATATTCAGGGGAAACCTACATGATCAGGTGCAGTTGGGCGTAATTGTTCCAAGCTAGGTCACTGAGTTGGAAGAAAAACAAAGAGCCCATGTCAAAATTGTTGTTAAATGTACAAGTTTTCAGCATTGACCCAGGGTTCAACCTAGCAAATTCACATTTGAAAAAGCCTTTTTTATCCCTACTGACATTGTAGATTTGCACCAGACAGCAACTAACCAATTCTAATTTTTTTTAATTGTCATTCTCTCTTCTTTATTATTTCTGTCACAATTTCTTTGGTAAGTTTTCATGTTGTAGTAGTTTTCACATTTGTAAACAAAAATTGCTCATTTTGTATTTTTGCCATCAATTCCCATCTTTTAAATTATTATTATTATTATTTCATGAAGACTTCAAATCAGAGTTACACCAGTTATCAAATGAAGTGTATCTTAATTGCATTCTGTTGTTATTGTTTATTTTTAACATAAAAAATATGAGAGGGAATGTTATATGTTGCCACAGCACTCATCCCTTCAGAGTTACTTTAAGAGAAAGAAACAAAGTAACCAGTAAAAGGTGTTTTTTATGCGGGGGTGTTGAATTGTTTCATGTGATTATAGCAGCATTGCTTGCTGTACACACCTGTAGCTAGTGTTCACTATGTTAAAGCAAAAGGTATGATACACATTATTACATTTCAAAGCTGAAAAAAAAATGAAATTGATGGAAGTCATGTCTTAGCCTATCCATATCCAGGTTTCCAGCTGGCAATGTTATATGTAGGCTCAAATTGTGGCCAAATTCAACTTCTGCCAAAGCCAAAGGGTGTTTGTAACAAGTCAACCCCCAAATTTAATAGCTGTCTTTCAGAATTTTTGTGACCAAGCAATTTGTGGTTTTTGTATATAACCCAGCCAGTTCTTCAACCACTGAAGTGAACATCATGCAACACTTTCTGGACTTTAACCATTTGCTGCTGGGTGGATTTTTCTTGAGCAAGACAAGATGCTGGCTCATTTTCAAGATTTTTCGTTTTCAAAATTCTTCAAAAATTCATCATTTCATTTAATGACCATTTATACCAAAATGAAGGACTCTTTGGGCACTACTCTAAAGCTGACAGGTAAAATTAATTGACTCCTGAATATTTAAGCTAGGCCTGCAGCCTTGGAAAAAGAGCCTAGATTGTACGGTGTTACATAAGATTGTTTTCTTCCCGAAACCGGCACAGTGCACTGCTGACCTCTTTTCAATAGGGGCCAGATTAGCGTGCAGCGGTGCTGTGTGGCTCATCGCTGCGATGGTGGAGAGCTTTTGCCCCCAGTGGTAATCTGCTCACTCTAAATGCCTCAAACCGTGGTATACGGTTTCAAAACAAGGCTGGATTATCACCACTATTGAGAGCGAAAAAATGCCAGTAATGCCCAGCAGCTCAGTCTTTTGTGCTGAGCATGGTCTTTTGTTATAAGGTCCAACTCTTTTGTCCCAGTTCTGGGCTCCACGGCTGTGCATATAAAGCCTATGTACTCAAAAACGGGTCGCCCGCAGGAAGTGGTTGATGTAAATCTATGCATGCACTGAAGTGATGTGTCAAATGGGGGTTTTGAAGCTAAAAGTACTGGGAGACTGGTTGAAATCTACTGTCATGACGCAAATGTACTTTCATGTGTTGCAGCTGTTCTAGAATTATATGACTATCATCAAGATTGGTCATTCTAAATATCATTTGCAGTTTTAATGCATAAATTTTGATTGGATGAGATATTAAAATATAAAAGCAATCACTCAGATGTAAGAAATGAGTTTAAAGGCTGTCGGAACCTCTGTTGGGAAGGATCAGAACTTTGTCATTTTGTCGTGGTGGCTGGCAGATCTGGCTGTACTGTGCAAGTAAACTATAATTCATGAGCATTACAACAGCAATATAGCATGAAAGCCGCACAGTTTAACTGTCCTACCTGAATTCCACCATGTCAGGAAAAGAAAGGAAAACTCTCCACTTCTGTTGCATGATGGGATGATTTTGAAAGCTAAAACACAAAGCCTACTAAATTGTACTATTGTCAAAAATTTTCAGCTGGTAAGGAAGTACCTAAGGCAAAACACCATTTTTGTCTCTCCTTTTTCTCGCTAATTGCTCAAGGTTATGGCCATATTTGTAAATAGTCACCATTGGGTAACAAGGGTAGCAGGCAGCTGGAATCCTGATATCACTAAATTCGTATCACATGGTCATTTATCTCAAACCTGCATTGAAGTATTTTTCTTGATAAACAGCATCTTCATACCAGCATGGTTTATGTTTGTAAGTGAATTTATTAGTATTTTGTCTCTTTTCAATCTTTGTATCCATCACTGAATGATAACAAATTTTCTGTTTTAATATGTGTGACTCATTCACTCGCATATATACTGTTCAGTCTAAGTTACGGCAAACTAAAAAATAATCTTAATTCCTATATATAAGGGAAAAAAATTGGTGGGTGGGTGAGTACTTTTTCCTTAATTTTTTTAACCAAAAATATTTAGGGATGAGGGGTTCTTTAAGTAGTTTGTGTCCTCACACTCATTTCTAATGGTTTACAAGTGTCCTCAGATTTCATGTTATAACATATATCAGCACTGCATATTCACTTGCTGGGTGGCTTTTGAATATCTGAATTTAGAAGGTAGATAGTTGTACGTAGATAACACACACAAGAGCAAGCACGTTTTTAGCCTGTAGCTAACAAAAATTAAAAAAATAAAAACAAAAACTAAATACAGGACAATGTTAATGAAAAGTAGCTTTTGGGTTGGGACCATAAGTTTGCATGTTAAATTTTTCACAGGCTGTGCATGATTGTCTAAGCTCAGTCAGATAACAGGAAATGCAGCTATTTTTTTCTCCAGGTTGTCAGTTGTTGGATTTCTTAAATTAAACATTTAACTCCAGGTAGCTCCACAAAATTGTCCAATTGGCATTTATGCTTGGTGGGTTTTATCGGATCCTTTGATATCAAATAAGCACACTGATTGGTTAACTGTGGACTTCTTTTTAATTGATATTGATTTATAATAGTGATGAATCTGACAGTGAGGAAGATGAGGAAGAAGATATAGAGGGCAAAAACCAATCCATGTCAGAGCAGAAGATTCAAGAGGAAAGGACCAACATGCTAGTTTGTCATTTCCTCTTTTCTCTGGTGTGGTCTGTGGGGGCCACTGTAGACCACTCATCTAGGGAAAAGTAAGTCACTTTATAGACGAATTTAGAGACTGTAAGAGATAAGAGACATGTGGAAGTTCATTACAAGCATCAGTTGGCAGTGGAAGTTCATTACAAGCATCAGTTGGCAGTGAAATGTTTCATCCTGGTGCTTGTTGTGTAATTTCATTAATATTGTGACATTTCCATGCCCATTATAAAATTGTACTATGGTTTCTGTACCTATCACATTTTCCTCTATCATATAAATAAGATAAATTACTTGGTAGCATACCCTTAAAGGGGTTTCGTTGAGTCCATTTGAAGCATTCAGTGAATGTTTTTTGTTTGTAGGTCTCCAGTGGAATGTTTCAAAAGACGTAAAGGGTTGAAATTCCACCAGAGTCAACAGAAAACCCTCATATTTTTCCTTTTTTGCTGAATTTGTATTTGTCGCCTTAAAACAAGAACAGAAAATGGTCAATTAATCAGCAAGACTCTTCTTTTACTCTGTTTTAAACTGCTTCCAATTGTCTGATAAAAATCATGTACATGAAAAATTTGAACATAGGACCAATGTTCTGACCAGTGGCCTTCTGAAATTTCAAACAAAGTTATAACTTTGTCAATTTCCATTCCAGTTTCAGTGAATTCTTCAAGCAGCTGTGTGACATGGACAGCACAGGTAAACACCCTAGACCCAAGGACCTCAAGTTTGCCCGGAACCTCCTCATTCCCAAACGTGGCACAGTATATGAGTATGTCTATATCAGGAAGGTGTATGGTTCTTGGCATCGCTGGGAGACGTTAGTGATGGCTTCTGACATCAGTGCTAAGGCAAAGGTAGGTGGAGACCAGGCATTCATTTCGACTTCTGGCCTTCCTGGTTAGCGGCCTATTTGCAGTGCTCTCAGGTTATCATCAGCAGAACACATTGTGTTTGTAATGAATGCTGTTCAGATCACCTTCTGTGGTCCATTGACAACCGTGTTTTGGGGCTGATGTTTTTTTGAAACGGTAACCAATATCTGGTAGTTTTTACATTTTTAAATTCTTGGGAGGAATTTCAGGAAATGTTCTGGAATCTTTTCAGATTGCAACAATCTTAAGTCCCTAAAAGATACTGCCACCAACTGTGTTGGTGGAGGAGGTTAATGGCCCCCACCAACTGATCAAACCATACTTTTACCTTATATAATTTGCTAAAAGTGTGATGAAGTTGCTGAAAATGGTTTGGAGACCACCTTGGCACTTGCTTTCTTATTAAAGAGTATTGAATTTGGTACTGATGATGAAATATTCTGGAATATGTAGCAGAGCAAGAGTTGGAAATTAAATTTAGTACTTCCATGGTGATTCATCAATGCTTTTGTCAGATTAGCATTTTGTTGTTTTTGTTTGCACTGATCATGTTTGACAATGTCTCACCATACATTTATCAGTTTATATGCACCCTTTGCACTTTGTCTCCAACATGGCTGCCTGTTGCTTGCTGTGTGTGTTTGCACAATCACATATACCCCTGCACCAACATTAACAGCTATGCAAGGTAAATATATAAAGGGCTTTTTACTCTGATATTTTTCCCAAAGTGTGTTGGCCATAGTCCAGTATTTGTGCATGTGTTTGCATTCCATTGTTTACTTTTATTAATCAAGTGTGGACTTCGTAAACAAAGATTGTGAAGTGATATTTATCAGACTTTAACAACACCGACAAACTTCCCAAAATCTCTGAGATATTTCTGGTTATTTTTTGAGTTGCACTCTTATTGATATTTCTTCAGATAACACTCATCAAGAACATTACAGTTTTTAATAGCCATAACGTACCACAATGACCATAGTTGTCGATGACTATAAAGGTTACAACAATGATTGTTGCAAATTTGACAAACTTTCCATGTAATTAATAAGAATGTCTGGGTCTGCTGTAGCAGTGGTTCCAGTACTTGTCGTTTTGAATCCTTTGATTTGCTAATATCAAGAAGAACATTAAGAAAAACTGTCGAGAAACTCCAGTTTCTTGCATTAGCGCACCCACAAAAAAAGCAATTTGACCGCTTCAATCATGCCTTATATTGATAATAAATTACTTTATGGGGAGTAAATAACATGCTACAACTCTAAAAATGTTGTTGGTGGAGTGAAGCAGTCGTCAACAAATGTCATACTTATAGGTGTAAGGGATAGTAGTTTTAAAGACTACTGTCATATACGAGTGTCACTTTAGGACATGTCAAGGACACAATACATGTACTTCTGATTTGCAGTGACTTTCTTCTTAGATTTTGCATTTGTTTTAAAAAATCTGTGTGATTACAGATACCAAAGTATAACAGTTTTTGGTATTCTCATTAATTTTGTCTGCCCTGGGAACTGTTTTACAAATACTGATGCTATTTCATATTTTTCAGCAATTTACCACCTTTTTTTTATTGTAACCAAATGAAATCCATTCTCAAATGACTATCATGATGCATGTTAACTGATATTGATATGCTGACTTTATTTGCCTGCTGCATGCTTCTTGCTTGGATTGGGTTTGGTTTTATCCATCATCTCGACACTAAATGCTGTCTACCAGAATGATAGTGACCGTAAGGTTATGGTAAGGAGGTGGCCATATTATCATCATTGTAGACGCAGACCAACTCATCTTTAGATTTAGCTTTCATTTTGATTATTCCATTTTGTAGGGATAGAATTGCCAAACACTTGGAAATGATTTTGTATTTAAAATAGAAATGGAATTAAGGAAATAATTTTTAAATAGACATCTGTATTTGCATCCTTTTCCTCAAAGTTTGCTTAGAAAGATACAGTTTACCATCAGAGTCGCGTGTTTATTGTGACCTGGATATTTTAGCAAGTTGTTTTTCATTATGATTCAGACCTCCAGATGTGATCTGGAAGCTTGTTGTTCAAAGTAAAATCTAATTCCCTTTCCATTTCCAAACAAAATCACATCCAAGTAATTTAGAGTGTAACACTTAGAAACCTACTTCGAGTCTGAAAGACGGATATTTTCACAAGGATCTGGATCTTGATGGGTAATCTGTCATTGGTTCACTGACACAAGAACCTGCCTAATGGATTGGGCAAACCACTGTAAAGATCACTGATTGAGACCGAGATCATTATGAAACAAACAGACCTTAAGATTACATTTTTGTTGTTCCAGGATTTATTCACTCATTCTGTGTGTGCACAAAACAGTGTACATATCGAGGATATTTTAATCCATTTTTCATTTGTTAGTGAGCACTAAAATGGAACAAATTTTTTTCCAATGGAGATTTTTAAACTAGATTTCAGTCATGGAGTGCAGATATTTTTTTTAGCTTCTTGTTGGTTAATAGCAAAATTGGACATTCGTTTTTTGAGAATTTTGAAATATAGTCATCTGCCGCTGTAAAAAGAAATCATTTTGTGATTTTCAATCATTTGAAATTCCACAGTAAATGTTGCGTTCAATTCATTTATCAATGCAATTTTTTAGGAAAAGACACATTATTTGGACAGTGTACCTTGCTTGATGTGAAGCGAATTTATGTATTGGTCAAAGTAGGAGAAAAATATAGACATAGATGAATGATCATTTAGAAACAGCACAGACTAACCTTAGTACATGTACTTGAAGTTGTAATCATTACAAACCATCTTTGAAATAGAATCCTGTAGAAATGACATCACTTCCTTGTGAAAGAGTGATGTTTTAGTGATGGGTATGCTTTAAAGGATCAACATGTTTGTGGGAATGCATGTTTGTAGTAATTGAATGTATTCCTTTCATTTGCTTGTAATTGTAATATCACAAGGCTACAGTCTACTGGTACTTTAATATATGTAGGTACTTCCACGAGTACACTGCAGTTCTTCTTTAAAGTACAAACAGTGTGACTTGGCTCTCTTGCTTTGCGTCGTGAATGTCCTTTGGAATGTTTTGAGCATGGAGTGCTATTGAATGGAAGTATGTATAAGGACTGGATTACTTGTTGGTTGATAAAATATGTGTCCAGAGTTCATGTGTATCATTAACAACCTGCTATCGCAGTCATGAATCCTGATAAACATTCATAGTTTACTGATTTTCAAATTTATGTAAAATGGGTTTTTCTTTAAATAAGAGGTCCAAAGTGGGACACACAGGACAAAATTTGAAAACTCCTTTTCTGGCTTGCAGGAAGTTTGTGTTCCACAACACATGAAGTCTACTCAAAAGATTAGTGTAAACTGATTTGTGTGTTCAGAAATGGTCAAACAAGGCACATGGATGGGATGTTGTCATAGTATATTAGAAATGTGGATAAAATGTGAGATATCTTTGTTTGTTGGAAGGAATTTATATTGTGGTTTCACATGTAACAAACTACACCAACAGTTGTTTTGATACTCAATATCAGCAAACCTCAGAGGAAAGTGTTATTACAGAGTTTGCCATAACATTTGTAAATTGAGAAGACTGTCAAGCACTAAATATTAATTTTTGAACATTGCAAATTTCAAAACACAGCAAAATTTATCATGTACATGTAACTATGTCCCACTTCTTTCCTGAAGATGATGAGTTTATGACCTCATATTTTTTTGTATTTAGAGAAAACGTGGTGAGACAAATGTAAATGTGAAGCTTTTTTCTCCAAGTGGTAGCCTTGCTTTATGAACTCATAATGAAAAACAGAACCACGTGGCCTTGTAGTTCTCTAAACAACCCCTTCAAGTGCATCACTGTGTTCTCCGTTGGACCTTTTATAAATGGAAAGACCCAAGATATATTTAGGCTTGCATTCCCAACTCAAACCAATCCAAGCTATAATTATTGGTGCTTTTATTCTCTCATAGATCAATGAATTGATTATAAAGACAGCAGAAACTGAACGTCAGCTGTATTTCCTGCGAAAATTTGTGAGCCGTGAGCACCCCTTATTGTTTGTGGGACCAACTGGCACTGGCAAGTCTGCTATCACCAATGCATTTCTATTGGAGCTAGCTAAGGGTCACTACATTCCCAACAACATCAACTTCTCCGCTCAGACATCAGCCAATCAAACACAAGATATCATAATGGCCAAACTGGACAGGTGTGTTGTAGGAACTATACTAAGGATAAAAAAGTCTAATTAAGAACAGAATAGGACACAAACCATATTGCCATACACGTACATCCATGTAGTTTTTCGTCAAATCGATTGACTTCCTCATTTTTGTGCTTTTGAGTATCTTTACATGAAAAAAATCTAGAATGTATGAATTGTACACTTTCGTGTTTCCTGAGCACCTAGTTGCATGGTTGTATGTGTTTTCTCTTACTTCATCATCAAATGTCACTAATAAAAATGAAAGTTTGCTACACTCACAGTCTTTGTTGTGAAATTTCCCCTCTGTTTTCAGGAGACGAAAGGGAGTGTATGGCCCTGCCATTGGTAAGAAACTGATTGTGTTTGTGGATGATCTGAATATGCCAGCCAAGGAGAAGTATGGTGCCCAGCCTCCTATAGAGCTACTCAGACAGTGGATTGATCATGGTTATTGGTTTGACAGGTAAGGTTTGAAGTACTTGAGTGTTCAGACCCAGGCAACCACTAATATGAATGTGACTCAAATGGTATAGAGATTGTGATCAGTTACTTGAATTTTAATGTATTTTTTGTGCCAAAAAGTCTATCACCAAATCAACTCTTTTTTTACAAGTCAGTCACATTTTCCTCATGTTTCGACTGCTGCATTACTGTACAGTTGTAGCAGGGTTAAATTTTAGCATCAGTATGATTTGAAAATGTTTCAGTGACAATGGAGCAATTAGGGCAAAGATTTACTACGTCTGTCAGAAAATTCTCTGAGAAGTTGAAGGTTGTATTTTCCATTTATTTCCATGTCAGGAAAGACACATCTGTGTTGCATCTGGTAGATCTGTTGATGGTGTCAGCCATGGGACCACCTGGTGGGGGGCGCAACACTGTCACCCCACGATTCCTACGTCATTTCAACATCATCACCGTAGACTCCTTTGATGAGAAGACCATGAATAACATCTTTAGCCCCATTATGGACTGGCATTTTGACCGAGGATTTGAGACGAGCCTGAAACGATTCTCAAGGGTATGTGCCCCAGACACCTAGTCAGTTATGATAAAAGTAGCTTGTTCATTGTAACTCATTGTAACCCTGTACAGTGTGTTCTTAGGCCTTTTTTGTTGACATTTCAACTGTATCTTGATTGACATGACCATTTGCATCCAACAGATCATGGTGTGTGCAACCACTGATGTTTACACCCAGTCCATCTCCAATTTTTTGCCCACCCCTTCCAAGTCCCACTATGTTTTCAACTTGCGAGATTTTGCGCGAGTGGTTCAGGGGATACTCCTTATTCAACCCAAGTCATTGTCAGACAGCAAGGAGGCAGGGACAAAATTGATACGTCTATGGGTCCATGAGGTCTACCGAGTCTTCTATGATAGACTAGTGGATGATGAAGACAGGCAAATTTTCTTTAAGATTGTAAAGGTACTGTGTATTTGGTTTTTTCCATTCTATTTGGTTTACTAGCCACTGTTCCATACAAATGTTTTTTGGATGTGATGTTTTTAATACAGAAACCAACTTGGGGAATTTTAATTTCCTTTTCTTCCACTTTGTGGTCATGAACATCCATCACAAGGTGGATGATTTACCCATGATAGTTTCAAGTCCGACCTGTGAAGCTGAGAGTTATAGATACCACATAGAATGATTTGAGTTAATAATTGATTAAAAGGGCTTTTAATCTTGTTAATAGCTCTTTGCAATTGTCATGATCTCCGCTATGAAAACAGACTTCTTGTGTGTGTTGTTTTTTGTTTTTAACGTTCCTTTGCTTTTTAAATTTTGGCTCTGGAGCGTTAGGTGTAGAGACCTGGAATGTTTTCTAGTGATGGCTACATTAGTTTGGCTAAAATAACTTTAAAAATGCTACCCTAAAAATGCTGCAATCAGATGTTTAAATCCAGTATCTCTATGTTGGTGTCAAGTCAACTCGCCCCCTGACCGACTCGCCCCTTACCAACTCGCCCCTTTCCAACTAGCCCCCTCGTAAACTTGTCCCCCGACCAACTCGCC